AAAATGTGCATTTTCATTAGGCCCGGTGCCAAAGTCGAGGTCCCCTCCTTTCTTTGTGTGGGCCTAGTCTAAAGAAATAAAGAAAACCATCGAATGAGTTTAGGTGCTAAACCCTAAAAGGAATAGGTTTGGGTGGTTTGGCCGCCTGAGACGGCGTGGGGTGGGAGAGTTAAAAGAAAGAGCCATCCACCATCAGGCTCCAACAGCCAATCGTCATATTGCGACGCACTCGAAAATACACTGTCGCAAGCTATTTCCGCTTCTGCGCCACTCTACGGCAAACCCTAAACCCTAAACCCCAAACCGCGACACCGCCAGGCAAGGTCGAGTTCCTTGGGCCCTCGCCGGAGCAGCAGTCCTTGATACTGGGCTCCTTTAAGGGTTCTTGTAAGGGTTCCTTTAAAGGTTCCTTTAAGGATTTCTTTAAGGGTTCCTTTAAGGGCTCGGGTTACGAGATTTAGGTTAAGTTACCATCATAGGGGTCGATAATAAATTAATCTGGCTTCCCTCTTGTCTGTTAGTATATTGCTACTATTATTTTGCTAACATTACCATCATAGGGGTCGATGGTTAATTGACGACTATTGTTTGTTAGTACTACTACTTTTATTATGCTAACATAAAATTAAATCCCTATTATTAGTAAGCATTATCACTACAGTTATTATTCTAACATTTAAGCCAAATCCCTCAGCAAGAACCCAGGATAGCGGAAAGCGTTACTTCGGTGCCGCCTTCGTTGCTCGCTCCCAAGGCACTGGGTTTATAGGGTTTAGGGTACCCAGAGACTCCAATACCCCTTACAGGAAGATACCTTAAATTATCGTAGGATCCCCAATATGAGTTAAGGTATATTCCTTAATTAAGGGATATTGGAGTCTCTGGGTACAGGGAATAACAGCACAAGCACCTCCCAACTACACTCTGTTATACCCTAAATGCCCACTATTAAGGACCATAAGGGCTCTACTAAAGGGTACTTGGGGGTGCTGGTAGGGTATAGGGTTTAGGGTACAGGTGGTAAAGAGTCTTGGGGATTTGGGAATTTGGCCCTGGGAGTTCGGGTTTTGGGATTCGTGACTGCGGTAAGAGGCTTCGGTGGCCAGGGGTTTCGGAGTTCTTCCGATGATGTGGGTTTCCCTGCTGCGGGGTTTTACACGGCTTTCTGGGATCTGTAATGCTTCTTGGAGCCATTCTACCCCATTCTAGCTTTGAGTTTCGCTGTTCACGTCTGCGTGGTTCAAAACCCATGAGACCCGAGACTGCAACATCGGAAGTAATAAAGTCTATGCTTCTGGGCTTGAAAGCCCAGGCGGCACCGGCAAGCCCCTTAGTCAAGGTCTGGACGGAAGTGCGTATGTGTGTTTATATGCATAACGTATACATATTTTGTAATTTTAGATTGTACTTACACTTGTAGTTATGTTTGTGTGTGTATGTGATCGTATCTACAGATACCAGAAGAACCCACACCCTCGCATCGTGACCAGGAGGCCGCGCCGGCCACGGTTCGCACCGCTGCAGATGCAGCCGTCGTCCCGCAGAAGGCTCGAGCTGGCAGTATATCGGTAGCAGACGAAACAGTGGGCATGGTCACAACAGAAGAAGACGATGGCGATGATGATGGCAGCAGGGATGATGATGACGTGAAGACGACCTGGGCCTCAATGGCGACCGCGAACATATCCCGACCACGACCCACCATGTCCAACCACGACCGCCCAAACAGATGCGGACAATGGTTCTGAGGATGAAATAGTCATGATGACGACGATAGCAATGATGCTGGTGTTGGTGAAGATGTGTGAGCAAGGTGCGATGGTGACACGATCGGGAAGGATTCATACGACAGTGGTTGCAAGCGGCTCATTGCGCAAGTAGTTTCTTATGGTTACCCAGTCCGCTACGATGGGCTACAGCAGGTGTGGGTGCATGTTTGTTTGTGTGTGTGTGTGTGTGTGTTACTTGGTCTTCGTTTGGGCGTGGATCGCGGGGAGGCGTTCGTCGGAGGTCCATCTGAAGCATTACAGTAGAAGCCATTACAGTAGAAGCCCAAAAGTTGGAAACCCAATTGCCAATAGTGGGTCAATAGCTTCAATCCTTGGGAGTAATATGTAGCGAAGCCCAGCACTAACTGTCCTTAGTCCGGTTTCCAGCTTCTCTGGGTTTACCTATAGTCTCCATTGTAGTTCCTTGTTTCGATTTAGCCAATCATTGGATTAAGGATCCTGTAAGGTAACCCCCCAAAAAGAAGCTACCATGGAGACTATAGGCATTATAGAAGGGGGCAAGGTTCGCGGCTTTCCTTGTTCTGAGCCCCATTCTGAGGTACCCTACCCGGTGAATCTGAATATTCCGGGTTTAGGATATGTAACTGGGTTCCTGTTAAAGGGCTTGGTTAAAGTTACCATCTATAGTAAATAATACGGTTTCCTTATGGTAACCATATTAAGTTCCTTAACAAGGTCCCAGTTAAGATGCCTCTTGCCCTCCCCCCCTCCGGATAGGCTGACATACGCACCCAGACCCCAATCCGACATGACGAACCTCTGACTCCTACTTATTGATAGTACTGGTGATTATTCAGGCCTTTTTTTTTTTTACTCCGACGCCACGATCGGAAGCCCTGACCCTTCAACCCCTTCGAAATGCCAGTTCCAATGGGTGTAGGCTTGTGGCTGATTGAAGCCATGATTACCATGCGATCGAGGATTGAGGCGATACGGTGCTAGATCTTCATCCAGAGACCCACAACCGTCATACTGTTGATGTTACAAATCCTGCATGACCCATAGTAAGGAATATGCCATAATTCCTTTTATTTCTTAGTATGGGTAATGCAGGATTTGTATCATCAACCGTATCAGGCACTGGAAAACCTCAAGAGCGGCAACAAGCGCTACGTGGCAGGCGCGACATTCGTCTCGCCCTACCACGATTGCAGAGTTCTGAAGAATCAGATTCTTCCCTATGTACCTGTAGCAGAACGTAATATGCAAGACTCAATTCTTGGGTCCAAGGCTACAGGGGCTTACCGTTTCCGAGTTGGGGTAGCGTTAGCCGCCCCCATCCTGTTTTCATTTGCTTCCGCCTTTAAGAGAGGGTTTTGTCAGTCGTTTCTCCGCGACCGAAGGCATAGACCCCAAAGTCCTAGAATCCTAAGCCCTGAACTTAAGGCCCTAAGCCCTATTCCACACAACCCTAAGCTAAAGCCTCAACTCCTAATTCAAGCACTGAGCCCCAAACGAAGCCCAAAACCTCAAATGCTTGCAACCCCAAACCCGGTTTAGGGTTTAGGGTTTAGGGTTTAGGGTTTAGGGGCCCAAACCCTGCAACCTTAATGCCTTCAGCGCGCATAGAGCTGAGTTCTTGAGAGGCGGGGTTTCCTCTTGCACCTCCGGGCTCGTGAGGGTGAGGGTCTAGGGTTTAGGACACATGCCCATTTCAGGGATGGTTAAACTGACACTGGAAGTTTGGATCAAGGAAGGCCCTTAAACGGTTCCGTCGGAACCCAACCCCAAATTTGCCAAACCTTCATCTCTGAAGACAAACCCTAAGGGTGCATGTTACCAAAGAGTATATACTTTGGCTTTAAAGTAGTCCCTGTATAGGTACTTTGGGGCTTAAGTATATACTATTTGGGCACATGGACCCGTAGGAAACCGTAAAGCCCTCTTTATATCTAGACCGCTGACACACCAGCTGTGGGTGCACGACACGCATACTCTACATCTTAAGTCTGCCACGTTCCATCTACACATCCTAACACCAGGCTCCAGCGGAGTTGTCCTCAGTTTTATAGGATCATAGGACCATTGTATATACTCTGCAGATCTACACATACGCATACATGCACAGCTTTAAGCTGGTCACTGTTGAAGGCACGCCGACGGCGCCGACTACCACAAAGGACCGGAAGTGGCTTGGGGTTAGGACATAGGCATAGGTAGAAAATCAAAAAAGACCAACAGACAGACTACCTGCCTGGCTGGCTGACTGACTGACTAGGCATGCATGAAACATGGGTGCATACATACAGATGTCCAAGCGCACCACGAACCGATAAACTACACACGCAAACACAAACACACACACACACACAAACACACACAGACACACAGACACACAGACACACAGACACACAGACACACAGACACACAGACACACAGACACACAGACACACAGACACACGGACACACGGACACACGGACACACGGACACACGGACACACGGACACACAGACACACAGACAAACAGACACACAGACACACAGACACACAGACACGCACACACACAGACACACAGACACACACAGACACACAGACACACAGACACACAGACACACAGACACACAGACACACAGACACACACTGACACACAGACACACAGACACACAGACACACAGACACACACACACACACACACACACACACACACACACACCAACATGCACACGCGCACAGATAGTCAGAGAGACAGACAGACAGACAGACAGACAGACAGACAGACTTGCGGGTCGATGCAGTGCCACAAGGGAAAGCATGTCATCATCTGAACCAGGCAGATGCTCTAACGGCTGTAATTGTCAAGCATAATATAGTTTTTCATATCGCAGCAACCAGCCGCAATGAGCATTCCCACATGCTCCACTTTCGCGCGTGACCACCAGCTACAAACCGCACTGCAACTGGTGGATACCAGCTGCCATACGCACTGCGAAGCAACCAACACCCACCCAAGGCACATGTGTCTTTCTTCGGTCATAATTCTGCCCATGGTTTCATTGCACGCAGCAGTCAAAGTGCTGTGGGCCCCGCACTTGTGCAGCAGTTTTCAACTCGTTTCTTGGTGGCAGGGTGCGTGTGCATCTGTCGCCCTCACACCTTTCTCACACTTCGGCCATCAGTTCCACTCTAAACCTCACGCACACATCTCTCAGAGTAGTTACATCGCAAGCCAAAGGAGGGCGACTGCAGGGTTTAGGACGTAGCCATGAGGACATGCGGAAGGCCTTGGTCGACAAGGGCCAAGCTCCACATGCTGCCATCATCGGCTGCGCCTGGTCTACCTCACTATTATTATAGTGTAAAGGGCTTGGGTTGAGGGCTTAGGGCTTTCGTAGTTTAGGCAGTGATGTTTAGTAAGAGTATTCTTGGTGCCTGGGGGTGATGTCTCTGGAGCGAAAGTTTTTACTGGCACTGACTAGTTTTGTCGGAAGGGTCTGAGAGGGCAGAAGATTCGAGTGCTCACACTTAGCCTGTTAGCGGTCCCGACTTTCAGCTGAGAGACGGAGATTGCGCTGATGTCAGGCTTCATGGACGAAGGTGATCGTGACGCCTTAAAGCCACACGTAACTCTTGCAGAGCCCTTGCGGAAATATCATAATTATTCCAAAACCCGTATAGAATCCTTGTGACCCATGTACGAACCAGGTGCTGACTCCCGAGCCCCGGTGGAGACGCTCTTTGACGCGGCCCCCGGCGACCTGCTCCTGGACGTCAAAGAACGGCTGCGCTTAAGGGAGGTTTAGGGTTACTGCAAGGTTTCTATACGGGTTTGCCTGTAGTCTCTATGGCAGTTCGCTATTTTGATTTATCCAATCGTTAGATTCAGGATCCTGTAAGGTAACCCCCCTCGGGAACTACAATGGAGACTACAGGTAGGGCAGGTTTGGTTGCCTCACTGGGTTTTCGGGAGTTTACAGGGGGTTTAGGTGGTTTGGAGTTCGCTGGCCACGGTTTCAGAGCTTCCAGGTCTATCATGGTATCCTTTAAGGGAAGGCAGCGCAAAGACTGCCCAACCTCGGAATGTTGATAGAGTACTTGGAGGCTCATCGGTGGTTATAAGCAGGGTTATGAGTAGGGTAACTATCCTTATCACCCTTTTTAGGGGACTTATAGCCCCGCATGTAACTAGCTATGAACCTCCAAGTAGGCGGATCACAGGGCGCACGGTGCAGGTTTAGGGTCAACGGGTGCAGGCGGTTCAGGGTTTGGGGTTTAAATTAAATTAACATTAAACCCTGAACCCTAACCCCCAAACCCTAAACTATAAATATACAGGGAACTCCCGAAAGTTGGAATATGGTTTCATTCATGGTAGGATACCCTATAATTTACCATAGAAGGGTTAGAATAATCATATTCCAACTTTTTGGCTTTTACCCTAGGGTTTTGGGCAGTGTAAGGCGACTGGGACCCCATGGGGGCATGATGATGGTGGTGCTGCTGATGATGGCTCTGCATCCTTTTCAGAATTCCCCTTAAACCGTATTGCCCTAAACCCGGCACCCTCAACCCGATGCCCTAAAACCCTACGGCAATCCTCAGCATCAAGCCCGCGGCTTGTATCAGCTGCAAGCCACAACAGTCAGTCCCAAAACCCCATACGGTACCCTGAAAACCTTTGAAGGCTTTCAAGTAAGCTTTCCAAAGTGTGAAGCGTGCTAGACACCAAACCCCAAAACCAGCAGCTTCCGTTTCCTTCAGCCGAGGTTCGTCTTGCGAAACGCCGGCAACACCTGCACCCATGCCGAAGGCGGGGTGCAGGGAGTTGGGCGTTCTTTGTCTCATGGTTTAGGGCAGACCCCCCTCCCCAATCAGATCCGATGTCCTACCTGTACCATGACCTAATTTATGTAAGCTAGTCTTGAAAAGCCTATACAGAATGTATATAGTGACCCTACGAGAGAGCACGCTATAGCAGGTGAAGGTGCATGATTCGGCCGAAACCTGAAAATAGCTGAGCCGTAAACCCGATGCCCTGAGCCCCAAACTCAAAACCACGAACTCTAAATCCCAAAAAACCCGGCCAGAGCCCTTGTGGAACCCTCAATGAACCTGCACCGAACCTGCATAGACCCTGAGAGCCCTTCTGGAACCTTTTATAGACCCCGTGCCATCGTCGAAAGTCGTCGTGCAGACGCGGTGGGGTTGTGCCGTGGACCTGACCCTTGCGGCGGTCGAAGCGAAACGCTCCGGGTGCTGCGAACGTGCGCTGTGCGGACGAAAGCGACAGCTCTCCTGGAAAGCGACGAGTTCTGTGACGGACAAGAATATCTGTCAGTGGACTCATACAGAGTTGCCGCTCACTTTCTGGAGTAGCCAAGGGCTACGAGGCTGTCGCGACAAGGACGGGTACTGTGCTGTCTTCGTTGTTTTTCTGCTCACAGAGTCGGTTTTGATTCTTTGCAGTGGCCACACGGACAAGACAAAATGACCCTGATACAGCCCTTTCTAGGACTATCATAGAACGCGCGTAGATCCCTGCCCTCGACGCTCCGTAAGCCCTCAACCCAGAACTCTTCGCACCCTTGGAAGGAACCCTTGCAGAACCCCTTAGAGTACATAGAGCCCTATACTAAAACCCTCCAACACCCCTTAAAACCCCCTATTGTGAGATCATTTTATACCCCTTCAAAGAACACTTCAAGCCCCGTATTGTGAGATCATTATATACCCCTGTTTACAGTTCCCTTCAAAGGCTCTACCTAGAGCAACCAATGTACCTGAAAAAGGGAGTTGAGCCTCAAAACATGGTACTTGTACTTAGCAAGGTACCTTGGATATTTTTTGGTCAACCTAATCCTTAAACCTCTAAAACCTTAAACCTTGTACCCTAAACCCTAAAACCCCTACACCCTAGACCCTTTCGGTGCAGGAAGCCTTCTGTGCTAAAGTATCCTTAGATCCCTTATAAGAACCCCTAAAGTTCCTTTATAGGATCCCTTAAAGTTCCTTTAAAGGAGCCCTTAAAGTTCCTGTAAAGGAGCCCTTAAAGTTCCTTTAAAGGAACCCTTAAGGTTCCTTTCAAGGAGCCCTTAAGGTTCCTTTCAAGGAGCCCTTAAGGTTCCTTTAAAGGAACCCTTAAGGTTCCTGTCAAGGAAAACCCTTAAGGTTCCTTTCAAGGAACCCTCCAAACCCAAACTCCTTCGTGACAGGAAGCTTCCTGGGCAGCCTGGAGTTCTGCGTTGGAAAGCTTGGCCTGGCACTCGGAGGTCACCGAAGCGGATCCATCATACTCTTTGTCATAGTTGGGTAACATTTTTCATTTTCTATTTATGGGTACTTAAACCCAATAAGGAATAGAAATCTTAATTTTTAATCCTGTCCCAACCATGAACTAGTACTGCTGATGGACGAAATCCTGCATGATCCTAAGGACTCTAAACTATGGGAACTATGGTATATTCCTTGTAAAGAGTAATGCAGGATTTTTGTCCATCAACAGTAGGAAGGTCTCCCTGGTGCTTAGTATGGAATGGGGGAATGAATTCTGGGGACTACTATTGGGGATTATACAGGGGCTACTGTAGGGATCCGTTCCCATATTCCCTACTATGCACCGGGGAGAGGTTTTCGGGTTTATAGAGTTTGGGGTTGTTGGTTTTCGGGATCAAAGTCTAGGGCCTAGGGTCCATCATGGGAAAGCCCGAACGAGGTGGAACATCGGCGTTCTTCGACATTCATCTGCACGGTCCAGGGTTTGGCTAAACTCTAAACCCTATAAACCCCTTAACACCTAAACCCCTAACCCCAAACTAAACCCCTAAACCCTAAAGTCGTAAACACCCTATAAAGCCTAAGGCAGCCGCCTCATCGTCGTGATGGGCCACACCAACTGCGGAGCCCTGGCTGGCGCCGCTGGCACGTGCGCCTGCCTAGGGCTATGGCCTCCACTACACAGCGTTAAATAGCATATATACACCATATAATATAATATAATATAATATAATATAATATAATATAATATAATATAATATAGTATAATATAATATAATATAATATAATATGATATGATGTAATATAATATAACATAATATAAGATAATATAATACAGTTTAATATAATATAATCCAATAAAATGTAATATAATATAACATAATATAATATAATATAATACCATATAATATAATATAATATAATATAATACAATACAATATAATATCATATAATATAATATAGTATAATATAATATAATATAATCTATGTATATGTATATGTATATGTATATGTATCAGATACATACTACATGTATGTATATGTATACACATACATACATACATACATACATGCATGCATACATATATATATATACCCACGTACATACACAATTACACATACATCATGGTCTGAACCTAGTGTTTTCTTTTCTGTTTCAGTCTGTTCTGTTCTGGTCTGTTCTATCTGATTTTATGATGTTTGTCTTGCAGGATTATGGTATATCATCTTCCTCAACTTGTTTAGCATCTGCACAGATACTTATGACCAGTGGTGTGGTTGTTGCAAACCCTGCCTCTGTAATCCAAACTGAACTGTGCCTAATTCCGTAGCAATATTAAAGTTGGACCGTCTAGGAAGTTAATATAGGGGCCTAAATGATTACCTATACTATTTTTGTTGGGGGTTCTTAATTAATAATTATCACCGTAGTGTACTACACCCCAAAACCTGAGTCTAACTACTAGGGCACCGATATATGAAGCCCCCAAGTTACCCCCTCATAGTAACCCTATAGACCCTTTTTCAAGGGAACCCTTCAAAGAAACCCTACTCTACAGTAGAAGCCAGAAAGTTGGAATATCATTATCATAATCCCTTCAAGGTAAAGTTATAGGTGATCCTGCCATTATTCCATATTCCAACTTTCTGGAGTTCTCTTTAATTCGTAAGGCCCCTATCTTACTCCCCAAACCCATGCAGAGCCTGTGAGCTTCCAGGTACCTCTCCATCAAGGAGGCTGCTGAGACCAAGGCAGTTGGGCTAAGACTTTGCTGCTCTTAGGAACTTAGGAATTTTTGTTTTGTTTGTATTGTAATCAAATTTAAGTGGGTTGATAAGAATGATTCTCTTTATTCTGGTTCAGGACCACCGCCCCCTCCCCCCTGTACCCTGACCCTTCAAGGGGTTCCTTTACGGGTTCCTTTAAGGGTTCTTTCCGGGATCTCATAGTCCTCAGCAAGTAATAGATGGACGTTACAGTAAAGTGTAGTTGGGGGCTCTAGATACACCCTAAAACCAACCCTGAACCCTAAACCCCCAGGCTGTGACCTGTGATCCTACAGCGGTTTAGTATAGGCTTCTTGGAGGTCTTGTTTTTAACGCAGGGTCCTCAAGAAGTAGATGGGGCCGTTGGGTATTTTACGATCTATGAGCAAATGCTTGTTATGGCGCGTACATGTCTGGGTTTCCGAACATCCGAAGGTCTGCGGGCCGACCGAAATGCAGGTCCTTTCAGAACTCGGAGTGGTTTAGTAGTCGAGGACTTCGGGTTTTGAGGGCTTGCCAGTGTTTGTGGGTGAGTCTGCTGTTCTTCATGACGAAGACTGCTCTGCTTGCTCAACGTCTCCCGAAATCCTTAGCCGTGCTGAAATGCCTCAGCTCGACTGCACATACAGGTACATACATAAACATACATATTCCACACACATACCCACATACATATGCACATACAAGCGTACACATACATACATGCATTCATGCATGCATGCGCACACATACACATAGGTACACATACTTGCACCCGTGCAAGTCTCTAGTAGAACATCACCGACAAACTCCCAAGCCCACAATTCCCCTTCTTTCCGACAGACACCGGGCTGCGCCCTCGAGGGTCTTCTTCAGGCCCTGTCGCGCTTGAAGCGAAGTCCTTTGTACATATAAAGTTCAGTAAGCAACTGTCCGTTTTCATAAGACAACGTATTAATATAGGGGTATGCATAAGTAGGTTAGGGTCTAACGTATGTGCAGGATCGAAGCCCCGAAAATTTATTGTTTGATCACTTGGCTTCAGGGTTCACCGTAGGGTTTAGGCTTTAGGGTATGTATTTCATGTGGCCAGTATTGAAGTCCCTGTGTGCTCTTGGACACCGCTGCTTTGCGAGATCCTAGTCCTGGGGTTTTGGGGGTCAGTTAGACTTAGAGCTGTAGGGTTTGATTCGTTTTTGGGGGCTCTAGGGGTTCAGGGTCTCATATATAGGCTAGGGGCTGTCGAATTCCATATCACCAATAGCTCCTTATTCCGAATAATATAGTATGGGCTACCCAAACAGCTAGTCGAATTCTCAATTCAGTCAGTGATGCCCCTACCTTATGGAAGCCGTAAAGTAACCCCTATAGAAGCAGCGTTTGAGACATCAAGGCCTGACTCTTAACTAATGTTAAGTTTTCAGCGCATTTACGGCCTTATGTTTATTTTGGGGCTTTGCGTAGACAGATAAGGGGGTTCGCCCTAACCCGTACCTGGACCCCAAAAGAACCCTTATGGAGCCGTTAAGAGGAACCCTTAAAGGACCATTGTGCAGAAAAATTGGCTTTTATAGGTGTTGGGCCATCATTTTACTTAGTTTTGGGGTTTTATGTAGACCCTAATCCCAGTTGCGGGAGCGTGAGGAGCCTGAGGACTTTAGACTTGAATGATTCAGTGAACGTACTTATGTTAACGAGGCTTTTTGGTATGCGAGCTGGATATTGATGTGTAGCAGTACCGACAGTATTTTCAATTGTACTATAGTTTTAAGATGTTGCGTGGCAGTTATAGCATAACATAAGTTACAATAATATAATTTTGGAGATATTTGCAGATTATGGCTGAAGAGTTCAAGGAAGTGCAGGCTTCTGGCTTGTGGCCGAAAGTTTCTGAATTTGGCTTCAGTTTAGGGTTCAGTGAAGGTTTTGAGTGTAGTTTGCTTCAGAATAGGAGTTTCGGGTTTTGTTGGTTTTTCTAGATTTCACCGCCTTTGTGCGGCACGAAACTAAGCCTTGATATGCAGGTCATGTGCTCGCTGGGCGGCAGCAAAAATCAGGGCCCCAGAACCCTAAGTTCCAGTGGCTTGATTTTTTGTATGGACAAACCCGCATCGACAGGGGCCGGAACACGACTCCAGTCCTTTCGGGACCGTGCTAATGCAGATTTGAGGCTGGACGGATTTGGAAGCCGCCGCGGTGGGGCGAGCCACAAAAACTGTGCCAAGGACTGGCTGGCATCCCTCCTTCCTTCTTTTTAGTGTCAAATGTCAGCGTCCGCCGAAGTCTTCCATCCCTGCATTTTATCGACAGACTGGGCAGGCAATTGGCGCCAGTCCCGAAGCAGCTCAGCCAGATGGATAAACCCTAAACCCTACTACCCTTCATGGGTAGTTATAAGTAGGATTACAAGTAGGATAGCTATAACTATAACTCCTATTAGGGGACTTATAACCCCACTTATAACTACCCATGAACCTCCAAGTAGCCCGTGGAGGCAATCGACCCCTCCAATGGTTTGGCCTCGTCCCACGCGCAAGCAACCTCAAAACCATGCAGATGTATGAAAAGAGAGCCTAAGTTTAGGGGGTTTGGTGGATTAGTAGGGTTCCTTTTAAAGGGATCTGTAAGGGTTCTATAAGGGGATGAACCTCAAACCCTTCGCCCTCAGCACTCGCCAGTCAAAACCTACCCTTTTTTGTAAAAGCTAGATCAGGGCTCACTATAAGAGCCTGCAGAAAACAAGTTTTCGCAGCTCAGGGTAGACATAGTTGGCTTCAGAGGTTGGGGTTGGAAAGGATCCCTGAAGCAGGTTCTCGCCCCCAGATCGAATGTTGTCAGAGCTGAGCGCTTTTCTCGCTTCTTAAGGAGCATCCCCCTTAAACATCCTTAATCTCTAAGCCCTGAACTCTAAACCCTAAACCTTATCCATCCTTAAAACTCCAAGCCCTGAACCCTAACCATAAACCTGAAACAAAGGAGTGGTGGTCCCCTGAAGTATGTGTCGGAAGCAAAGCTACCAGCAGAGCTGCCTCAGCATCCCTGAAGCACTACGGTAAACCCCATAAAGTTGGAAACCGGATTAAGGCCAAATAGTGCTGGGATTCCCTATAACCTACTCTTAAGGATGGAGGCTATTGGGTTTCCAACTTTTGGGCTTCTACTGTATCCCAGGATCCGAGGATCCCCGGACCTCGGAAGCCCGAGACGCCTTCAAACGTTTAAGGCCTGATACTAGGTACCGATTTGGGATCGTAAACGGTTTAGGGTTTAGGGCTTCCTTTTTTAGTGAGCCTTATTTACACATAGTTTTGGGGACGGTTGAAATCGACACCTACTACAAGCCCTGAAGCCAAGTCTCAAAGAGAACACTGTTGCCGCCGTGGCAGGGGCTGACCTCCGTGGCCGCCCAGACAGCCCAGGAACCCTGCCGACTTGATCTTCTTGGAAGGGTTGATCGGCAGCTGCAAGTATTAGTAGCCGAGTAGGTCGCCATTTTACTGTAGGTCCTTTAAGCTATCTACAGGGGTTCGTAAAGCCTTGAAAGCAATTCAAAGGCCTCGGATTTTTGGCGGGGTTTGGGATTGAGGAGTTCGGGTTCAGGTTTAGAGCTCGGGTCTTTGGGGGCTTAAGGGTGCCGGGAGTTCAGGATTTAGCTCGGAGAGTTGCACTTCAGGGTCTGGGGTTCAGGGTGTGCTGGGTTTCGGTGGTCCGCCCCTAAGCCCTAACAGTTAAGAGATGTAGGTTTTTGCGGGTGTGACTGCCTGCGGGCTAGATTTAATGCATTTCGGGTCGAGGGACCACCTGTAGTCCCCATTGTAGTTCCTTTTTTGGGGTTACTTCAAAGGATCCAATTTATATGTTTGGTTAAACCAAAAACAGGAACTACAATGACGACTCTAGGTAGAGCCGGAGTCCTGGTCCGAGAGCATTCGGTTCGTCTTGGAGACTCGCAAGTTTCAAACTCGAAGCTCAAGCTTGAGAACCCCAAACTTATCTGTGGTTAGTAGGGAATGGAAGAGGTAGCGGGCGCATAGGGCGCCGTGTGATTTCATGCGTTTTTAGTGCTTTTTACTGCACAAATCAAGGGTTTTTGGTCAAGGGTTTTTGCTGCTGTTCAGGACTGTTCTGGACTAAGGGCGCGGGGTGGGGGAGGGGTGGGTGGGGGGAGGGCTTAATAGCGTCCGGCCGTCGCATATCCTCATGATTTGATGGTGATTATGATCATGATCTATATGATGATTACGAATATGCTGAAACATGATGAGAAAAATTCCTGATGACGGTGAGCATGATGTTGTTACCGACAATGATGAGGGTTGCCATGATGATGAAGATGCTGAAGATGATAAAAGTGTGGATGGCGGTAACGATGGTGATTGTGTGATCATGAACATTATGATCATTACTAATATGATGAAACATGATGATAACAATCCTGATGACGGTGAAAATGATGTTGCTAGCTGATGATACTGCTAACCGTAAAAATGCTGTTAGTTTCGGTGAGGTCCTACAAACCTGTTTTTTGGTGAAGTCATGCTAAAACTCCAGTCTCGCGCACATTCTAAGTACGAACGCAACAGGGCGCCCTATGCGCCCGCACCCATGCAAGAATGGTAGTAATAGCAGTTACATTTGTACCCCATTCCTCCATTCCCTACTAATTGGAAAGCAAACCTCAAACTGTACTCAAACCTCTGCCCTAAACCCCAAAATCAACGCTCAAAACCCTGAACCCCACACCCAAAGCCCTGAAACCTGAAACCCAACATCCAAAGCCCAAAGCTGTTTAGAGTTTCGACTTCTCAAAAACCTCGAGACAGATCCCTTCCCAGCTCAGAACCCTAAACCCTAATTGATCCCTAACCCCCGAACCCTAAACCCTAAAACCCTAAACCCTCATCCTTAAACCCTAAACTCCAGGAGCTGGGTGGTACACCCGCTGCCGGCGAGATCGCAAGCGCAGCCGTTAAGGCTCACTGTTCGGGGTTCCGGGTTTAGGGCCGAGGCTTTCGAGTTTGGGTCTTACTCCATGGTCTCAATTCTTATAGGGTGTAGGGTTTATAGGGTGTATAGGGTTTATAGGGTTTACATGGTTTAGGGTATGGTTTCCATTGTAGTTCCTTTTTGGTTTAATCAAATATGCAATTAGGATCCTGTAATTACAAGTTATCCCCCAAAAGGAACTACAATGAAGACTACAGCTAGGGCCTGAGCAAACAGTAGGTGCCATTCCGTGCATACGGCTACTCCTAACTTGTAGAGATATGCTCTCCCAAAACTTCCACGAGTTAGCTGAGTACTTGCACCTGTATTAATTACCGTGGCGCGGCCCAGAGGATCTTGTGCCGTATAGCCCGAAAACCCAAAGCAACTGTAGATTCCCTTGTTTTACCCCCAAGTCGAGTCAAAATCTCGGCTGAAGGGTCCCAGAAGAGGGAAATCTATGTCTTTGGCATACTGGCACCCCAAGGATCCAAGTACCTGATGATCATATACTCTCCAAAATCCTAACCGTCCTAACCTACATAACTACTATCCTAAAAAACCGAGTACAGTAGAAGCCCAAAAGTTGGAAACCCCAGAGCCTCCATCCTTAAGAGTAATGTAAAGGGAATCCCAGCACTATTTGGCCTTAATCCAGTTTCCAACTTTATGGGGTCTACTGTACCTTATTATTGGGTCCTTTGGGCCCGTCTGGGGCAGGGGACTCTACGGACTCGCCACGCCGATTCTCAACCACATATGACTTTCCGGCCCACGGCAGTAGTGCTGAATAGATCTAAGGCCTGCCTTCAATCCAACCTGTAAGTGAACGATGTTTGGCGCCTATACACCCCAAGATTCTTACGCGCATTTCCACTGAGCTCCAACCCTAAACTGGGTTTCGTGCAGTTTCGTGTGTTGGCCGCATGTTTCGGGCTTTTAGATGGGTGTTGCGATTCTCTGTGGTGCTGTATAGGTTTACGCGGCATACCTCAATGGGACGGGGTAGAGGGGAGATTTGGGCGTGGTGGGTGGAGAGTGGATGGCGGGGTGTGGTTAGGTACGGTACTACAGGAACCCTAAGCCTTGTTTGAAGCAGTTTTAGGGTTGAGATGCCCATGCCATGCCCATGCTTCAGATTCAGCGGTTCAGCAGCTACTTGGAGATTCATGGGTAGTTGTAAGGCAGGTTATAAGTCCCCTAATATGGGTTATAAGTATGGTTACTCTGCATAACCTTACTTATAACTACCCATGAACCTTCAGGTAGGAGTGCGGTCGTCCAGAGAGGGTAGGTCCTAGGTGTTGACTGTGAGGCTCTTGGGGCTCATGTGATGGGTGCCTCACAGGTTGAGTGACGACTTAGGGGCATAAGGTGTTTTGGTAAAGGGTTTAGGGATTAGGGTTTAGGGGCGCGGCTTAAAGGCTGCAGGCCAAAAGCGGTGATCTGCGATGCACAGGTGAACGTGTTCAACACCATCAACTTCCTGTTGAAGTTCAGCGAGCCCATTCGAGTGTCTCGGCTACAGAAGCTGAAGCTCAGGGGGGTTTACATGGGTTTACCAGCAGCAGTGTTTGGGGCTTCCGGGGGCCTGACAGTGCTATGACAGATTTATATTTCAGTTGGTGCGGACGTCTTGGTTCCTCGTTTAGGGGTATAAGGATTTATAGGGTTTAGGGTTTGGGGGTTTCGGGTTCAGGATTCAGGGTACTGGGTTTGGCTTTTCGCATTCTCTGTTGGTTTCAGGCTTCAGGGTCTACTTGGAGTAAAAGTAGGGTTATGAGTAGGGTAACTATACTGATAACCCTCATTAGGAGACTTATAACCCCACTTATAACTGCCCATGAACCTCCAAGCAGGTGCTCGATGATTCGTATGGCACGTGTCGGGGTTTCTTGTAGACTAGTGAGGGGTCTGAGCAGCTAGTCCCACTTTCAGATTCTTGTACTTGCATGCTGTATATCACTGCCGCCACGAAGGCCACCAGATGCATGGAGGCCTGAGTACCTAGTACTATTGATTGGGTAGTCTAGGCCCTATATAATCCCTATATAACCAAAAAGGCGAACCCGTAGTTCCCCATGATACCCGACGAGTAGGAATAATTAGCTTCAGTGCTCGCCAGACCTTCTCTGGGCACCCGCGTTCTGCGGCAAGTCTGCGGATGTGCTGCAGAACTTACCTTACCTTTGGTTAGTAGGGAATGGAGGAATGGGGTACAATTATAACTACTATTACTACCATTCTTCCATTCCTTACTAACCAAAGGTAAGAGAAGTGGTCTCAGAAGCTGGAGCGGCTGAAGTGCGTCACTCGATCCAAGACCTGGTGGGACGCCATTGAGACGCAGATGGGAGAGCTCCGGTGCCTACGACTGGGACAACTCAAGGCGCTCATCGACGAAGTGGTGTTGGATGCAGCACTAGCACTACCACTACCATTCCCACTGCCGCTGCCACTGCCATGGTCACGAACAAACGGTACGGGCGCCCTGGCCAATCTGATCATGTCCGCAACAACGGGCGGCTGCTGCAGCTTCGCTCCTTGACCACAACATGCAAATTCTTATGCAGCCACCGACGGACAACCGCGGGTCCCTGGAGGTCTCGTCCACGTGCTTGTTTCCACGGATTACATACAACCTCGGTAAAGTTTTTGTGTGAGACTGGAGGCCGTAAAGATTTGAGGTTCTTGCACCTTGGTCTACCATCTGAGCTGCGAAACCATGGAGCCGCGTGTGGGCGTCCCTCTTCGGATGAGTCCGAGGACCGCTGTCAGTCGAGCCTTCAATGACTTTCTTGCAGTGGCTAAGCGGGCAGCTGTTGGTGCCGCCAAGCCACAGGCCCTTCAGTGGTTGCGACCATACAGCATCCAAGCCAGCAAAGAGGGTACAAGCCTCGTGTACTCCCCAGTCATAGAACATACCCCGAAACCCTATTCTAGTTATTGCGGCTTGTGTATTACCTCACCTGACATCCTGAGCATGCAGACATGTGGACGGCACTGCCTGTAAACCAGCCGGACAGCCCTTCAAGCCCATAGCCCAAAGCCCGAGCGACGACCTTAACATCCAAGCCCCCGTAGGGCCGTTGAGGTTATGCAAGTGTACTATAAGCGTTCTGCAAATTCTGCAAAGGTTGCACAGGGTGTCTGTAGGCTTCTATAGCAGGATATTCTAAGCCCGAAGCCCCAAAACAGTTTCTCATTACCCGAAACCCCACCGAAACCCTGCACCTTGAAGCCTAATCCCCTAAACCCTACCAAACCCAAACCCCTTAAAACCTCTAGCCAAATCCCCTACACCCTACCCTAATCCCAAACCACTAAACCTGAAACCCTAAGCCTGGGTTGCTGAGTAGCTTCCTTTTGCCCTTTTTGCTTTATAGCCCCCTTATTGAAACCGAATAGTAGGAAAAGGGCACCCTTATCATAAACGGGCTAATGTAGGAACCTGATTAAGAAACCTGGGGCTTTAATTCAGGTTCCTTCTATGAATCTTACTATTTTGGGGGTTGTAGGCGGTTTCTGAGTCAGGTTCGAAGCCGTGAAGCTTTTGCAGCGATAAGGCCCTGGCCAAGAGTGGAGAGTTGGAAATCCACGGCACCCGACTGAGGACGTGGAGGCGTAGGTTTAGGATTCACGGCTTAGAGGCTTTTGGGTTTGGCGGTCTAGAGTTGCTTTGGGGTTTAGGGTTCAACGGCCTTGGGTTTCGCGGTATAGTGGTTTGTGGCTTCAGGTGTTTTAAGATGAACGGACATCCTGGATTGATCATGATGCCTCAAAAGGTGTTACAACAGGAGTCCTAATATGGGAGTTTCCGAAAATGTGGCACCCTAATATAGTACCCTAAATAGTAGGATCCTGACTATAAGGATCCCGAACTAGGGTACCCCTAATATTCGGAGACTCCCGTATTGGAGCCTTTGAGATCGGGGTGTATTTCATCAGAAGTCTGGAGCCCCAACCCCAGCGTCGCGATCTTAAGCCCAATACATCTGGGTAGTTGTCAACCACATGTGGTCTTTCCCTGCATCTCAGAGTCGTCTTTTTGCACCACCCTCGTAGCGAGTTGCGCTTCTCGTGGTTTGTCCCAGCGCTTTCTGTCAGGATGCACCGAATCCCTAAACCCTATAAGCCCCTGAGCCCTGCACCCGAAACCCTGGGCCCGAAGCCCAAGGCCCTAAACCCTAACCCGTGAACCCTAAGCCCAAATCCCTAAGCCCTTAACCGTAAGCCCTAAAAGCCCAAGCCCTTAACCCTACTTAAAGGATCATGGGACTTAGTAACTAGGGTTATAATTAGGGTAACTATACTTATAACCCCAACTAAGGTACTTATAACCTTACTTACTAAGTCGCATGATCCTCCAAGTACAAGCCAATCCCAAACCCTAAGCCCTCGACACACCTCAACTCTGAGGCTCCCTGTGTTATGAGGGTTTGGGGTTAGGGTAGAAGCCTAAAAGTTGGAAACCCAATAGCCTCAACCCTTAAGAGTAATGCATAGGGAATCCCAGCACTATTAGGTCCGGTTTCCAACTTGATGGGGTTTACTGTAGGGTTTGCAGGGTTTCGGGTTTAGGGTTGAGGATCTGTAGGGTTTACCTGGACCCTAAGGAACCTACATCTTCAGGCTTCCTTAATATGATTTCTTTATATGAGTCCTAAAAAGGGTATATAGGTTATTTGGGGTCCAGGTAGGGTTTCGGGTTTAGAGGATTTAGGGTGTATAGGGTTCAGGGTTTGTGGGCTTTTGGGGTTTAGGGCTTAGGGACTGCTCTTTTTATGATCTCTCCCCGGCCCTCCCGCTGTTTTCGAAGGTGTCATGTCTGCTGTAAGCGTTTGCACGTCTTTTCTGCTGCCTGAAGAGTCTGCAGGTTTCAAATTTAGGGCTTACCTAGTAAGGACGACGTATATCAAAGAGTATAGTCTTGTTGTTCTTCAACGCCAAAACAAGTTTCCCAGGCTCGTCCCACTGTTGACAAATAGGCTGGCAGCAGAACTTCCTCAGGGCCACACTCTGGGGATTCATGCGCAGGGAACGGCATATACATATGGGTGGTTGTCCAAATTAGGGTCCCTTACTGGGTCCCCAATATAGTACGGCACCGAATATTTAGGGTTCCCCAGAAAGGGACCACAATTCTGACAACCACCCATATACAAAAGGACGAAATGACGAGCAGAGCCTGCAGAGACCCCTACACCTGACCCTGTCACTCCCAAAGCTACTGTCACGCACGGAGCCCGACTTATGGCGCCTGCTCCGAGCTGTTTCCCGGGGCTGTGGCGATGACCTGCCCGCAGGGATGTCCGTGCAAGGCTTGGGCGCCTTGCGGGAGCAAGCCCACGCTTGCTTTCAACGGGCTTTTCGGCTCTTGGCCTGGCAGACCACGCCGGGCGAGCTGGGGCAACTCGACAATTTCTTCGTGCTTGTGGAACGCGAACTTCAAGATCTTCGAGATGATTCCGAGGCAGCCAGTGGTGCCGAATCGCCCCCGCGCAGCTCGTCGGAAGACGACTACTGAGTAGCGTTCGACTGCCACTCCGCAGTCGGTGTGTGGATCGTCGCCTCTTGGAGGATCATGGGACTTAGTAAGTAAGGTTATAAGTATCTTAATTAGGGTTATAAATATAGTTACCCTAATTATAACCGTAGTTACTAAGTCCCATGATCCTTTAAGTACCAGACTCCAAGATTCCTTGGCTAAGTGTTGGTGTAAGGTTTACCGGAATCCAGGGGAAGGAGGGGGCGTTGGAGTGTCTGGGTTAGGGTTCAGGGCTTTAGCTTTAAGGGTTCTGGGGTTAGGGCCTATCAGGGTTTAGGGTTGAGGGTTGGGGTGCCTGAGTTCACAGTGTCCCAAGGTGCGGTCTACAAGCTGGAGACAGGTGAAGTCGACTTCTTCGGCCCCTCGCCAAAGCAGGCACCCGCTTCTGGAGGTTTCGCATTTTCCCGCCTTACGAAAGTGATCCTGTAGTGCAATTGCACGCCCCTTCTGCCCTGTTCATCTCAGGGCTCCCTTGTTACCAGGAAAAGGGGTATCCTTATTATCATCATTATTATTAAGGGGACCCTGGAGAACCTGGGGAACCTAGTATTGAGGCCGAAGCTTGCAGAGGTTCATGTCGAGGGGTCAAGCAGTTGGGGGTCACACTCACAGTGTCGGGCTCTCGCTGTCTAGTCCGTTTAGGGTTTAGGGTTTAGGGTGCTAGAGTGGGGGTGGTGGCGGCGATGGTGGTGGCGGCGGCGGGAGTAGTGGCAGTGGCAGTGGCAGTGGTTGTATAGAGGTTGTAGAGGTTGCTGTGACTGTAGTGGTTTCAGTCGTTCTAGTCGTATTCGTCGTCGTAGAAGTATCAGAAGCAGTAAGCAGTATCAGTAGCAATAGTAACAGCATAAGCAGTAGCAGTAGCAACACCAGCAGCACGGCAGTATCAGTAGCTGAAGATTAAGCCCGAAAATATAAACCCCACCACCCTCAACCCAATAATGATCGCGTGACCTCCACCTTGCGACAGGCTCAACTTCCTTTGGAACCCAAGCCCCCAAACCCTAAACACTCTTGGAGGTTCATGGTTAGTTATAAGTGGCTTTATAAGTCCCCTAATATGGGTTATAAGTATAGTTACCCTACATATAGCCCTACTTGTAACTACCCATGAACCTCCAAGTAACACCAGACCTTCGACCCCATGAAACGCAGTGCCCGAGATCCCCGGCCCGGTAGGCGGAGCTCTTGGCGTCGAAGCTGCGACTCGCCTTTGCAGGGGCTCATAATACCGGTGGGTGGTTGTCAAAATCATGGCCCCTTTTCGGGTACCCTAGATATTAGGTGCCGTAGTATAATAAGGACCCGAAAAGGTACAATAATTTTGCCAACCACCCAAAAAACAAAACTAATACATATATATATATATATATATATATGAATGATTGGAACTGGTGTTGCTTAGGGTGTAGGGTGCGTGGTTTACTGTAGAGGTTTGGAGTGTGAATAAAGGGGACAGGGGTTTCGGACATAGGAGGGTTCCCGACTACATAGCTGTCGCACAGCATACCCCCAAGCCCTTTTCACGTTTACCAGCCAGCCTTCTAGCCTTGAGAATCTAGAGGTTTTCAGGGGTTTCGAGGTCCGGGATTGGGTTTTTAGAGAGCTTGCTGGTTCAGGGTTTATGGTTTAGGGTTCAAGGTTTGCTAGGTAGTTCTACAAACCCTAAACCCTAAACCCTAAACCCTAAACCCTAAACCGTTTGTGTTTCAAGGGTTCTGGAGCTTTGCAGGGTGGCACGGAAGGCTGTCGTAGGGCTAGGGTTTGGGGTTTAGGGCTTCCCATATTATCGGCAGAGTCTGGGTTCAAAAAGGGCTTCCCATATTTAAGGGGTCATAACCTACTATTTTGTAGGGTTTGGGGCTATGCGGGAAGGAAAAGGAACACCGGCCTTGGAAGTCTAGGTGAAAGGATGAACTTTCGAAATTGTTAGCTGAATTAAAGCCGTTTGTTGAAGTGTGCAATGCTTTAGGGAAGGGAGCAGAGCGCTTCAATCCGTAAGTGTGCATAGCTGTAGAACCATAGCATCAAAGCCTGAGTCGAACCCCAGCTTGAAGATCGCGCGGTACCTTGCGAATCGGTCGTCCTTTAATATACAGGCCTTAATCAGAGTTGGATTGTCGGGTTCACATCTCGAGGGGCCTTCATAACTAGACTGTATGTTATACTGTAATTAATTAGAATAAGGACCCCCCCCCAAAAAAAAAAAAGAACCGACTGTAATTCATTCATAACGCCCATACGGCACGTGTATTGCTATGGTTCCTGCTTTCCTCGCTTCGTTGGCAGCAGGGTACCCGATGGATCTCATGCCTTGCTAGAATTCCGATCGCGGGGACTCTCGTGTCGTGCTCAGTGGTTTGCCCCTGCTTATGATTATGACCATATTGTTGATGATGATGATGGCTTGTTTTAGTTATTGTCATTATTTATGATTGTACTAGAATGTACCCCACAACTCTACTCCATTATTCCGTTTAGGGTTCAGGGCTTAGGGCTTAGGGTTCAGGGCTTGAGGTTGAACAATAAGAATGCCAGTCTTCAAGGCCGAACGGACGAGGGTTGAAGTGATGTAATATTGGGGACGTTAACTACTCATGAAATTTTTGGGGCTCGATATTGTAGTTATAGTATATTATAGTTATAGTATAGTATACCCCAAAACCCTATTCTAATTAGTGAGACCCCAGCATTCGGCTCTTACGCTAGGGCACAGAAGGCCACAGTCAGACTTAGGTTTAAGGGTTTATGGGTCTAGAGGTTTATGGTTTATGGGTTTAGGGTTTAGGGGTTTAGGGTTTAGGAGGGGTTTATGGGTCTGGGGGTTTATGGTCTAGGGGTTTAGGGTTTAGGGTTTAGGGGTTTAGGGGTTTAGGGGTTTAGGGGTTTAGGGGTTTAGGGGTTTAGGCGTTTAGGGTTTATAGGGTTTAGGGGTTTAGGGTTTAGGGGTTTAGGGGTTTACGGGTTTAGGGTTCAGGGGTTAAGGGGTTTATGGTTTAGGGGTTTACGGTTTAGGGTTTAGGGGTTTCGGGGTGTATGGTTTAAGGGTTTAAGGGTTTAGGGGTTTAGGGTTTAGGGTTTAGAGGTTTCGGTTTAGGGTTTAGGGGTTTCTCCCTCCAGATTCGCTGCTGCTGCATTCGCTGCAATTCGCTGGCATACGCTCGTCGGTGAAGTTGCTTATGAACTCATGATTGGTGGTCCAGCATACTGCCGATGGCGGCGCTACCGCCAATGATCGTCTCCGCGGCTGTAGCCGGACAACAAGGTAACCTGCCATTGCAGCTGCCCCCTATCGTGGCCGAATCTCGACATATTCATTTAATGTAAGAGGGCGTAGCCTGGGTCGTGCCGGCGTCTGGCAATCAGATCATTGCACGGTGCATCACGGAGGCGTAGCAGCGGACCAACGGACATCGCCGCTGGCTGCTATTGTGATGCAGCTCATGCCGTTTCGCGCAAAAGATGGTTGATTCGATCCTCCATTGCCATGATTACTGCGAGCCGCCGGAGGGACCGTCTCTGCAGGTCGTTTACTCCCTATTCACTCTAACGGTCTAACCAGTGCCTGCCCACTACAGTAGTCACGACTAGTCCCCTTTGAACGTCTTACACTTCCTGAAATCCATCAAGCCTTCGCTACAGTAAACAACCCTGTTTGAAGGATCAGGGACCTAGCAAGGCGGTGATGCGTAAGGTTGGAAGTACTCATTACTTGGAGGTTCATGGGGAGGTTATAAGTACGGTAACTATACTAGTAACCCAGATTAGGGGACTTGTAACCCCACTTAGCACCCATGAACCTCCAAGTAAGGGTAATTAGCCTGTGCAAAACCCTTAAACCCCAAAGGCTCCATGTACCCTTATAGTAGATACTGAAGCCTTAAAGGGAACCCTATATAGGTACTTTAAGGCCTAAGTATATACTATAAGGGTACATGGAGCCTGTGGGAGCTACAAAATGCTCCAAAACCGAACCTTCGAGACCCTAAAACTCCACCCCAGGTGGATTTTGTATTGGAATTTTCGGGCTCTGTGCTGCCTTGCCAGGTAAGCCTCTTTATGGTTTAACTAGGGCTTAGGTATTGAATCCCAAGCAAGCAGAGCTCAGGCAACTCCCGCCCTCCATGAGCAACTCTGCCGATGCCTTGGCGCTCATTGGTGCCCATGGCGTCCGCACTCCCGAGGACGTTCGGGTAGTGGTTTCGGGTTTAGGAAGTCGAGCGCACGGAGTGGTAGTGAGCATTTCGGTTCTCTTCGCGGTTCGGTCCAATCTTTGTGCGCCAGCAAAAATCGCCCGGATCCCCAAATCCCCAACCCAAACCCGAACCTTAATCCCCCAATCCCAAGCTTCACAGACCCCGCAAGCCCAAGACCCCGCCAATCCCCGGAGCACTACGGAATATCGCAGGTTTCGATTTCGTGGCTATGCCCTAAGCTCTACCATACCTTTGGTTGCAGGTCGTTATTAAACACAACTCCTGCCTACATTTGTAAGGACCGTACAACACAGTAGGCTGTGGTAGATCAAAGTAGGGTATAACCCTTGAAGATGGGATCCGTTGATCAATCCGAATCCTCACCGGAAGCCGGATCGAAGAGGCCGTCTTAGGTGCCACTGGGATGTTCAAGCTGTATGTAGGTCTCGGGATTGGGACGAGTTGCCCGTTCGATACAATTGTTAAACCAGCCGGTTTTATTGCGGACATCTGTAGCCTCGGAACTTGGTTGCAGTACGGATGCCTGATGCTGCATCCGTGCACTGCTTCTCTTTTGGCAAATTTGGCAGACCCGAAGCGTCCAACCTCGCTCGCTTACAAACGAGTACATAGTCTTCTGAAAGGTTTACCCTTTGTGTCATTGCGTTGTTGGGAGAAGTAGGTTTCAGGGCTAGGATTTAGGATTTCGGGTGTACGACCCTATTTGGGGGTTTGGTTCGGCTGCTGCACAATTCAACTTGGGCTCCAGCACGCGAATTCTCAAATAGTGTTTGAGTGTGAGGTTTGTGGTTCCGGTTCATGGTTTGGGACTCTGGACAATTGTAGTATCCTTAAGGGAGGGGGGTCCAAGGGGGGTATATAGCCTAGTGATCCCTCATTCTCCCTAGTACTCCCTAAGGTTCCCTTACAGTCCCCTAAGGATTCCTCATACCCTCCCCCCTTGAACCACCCTCCCTTAAGGATCCTATAGGACAACCCGAAGCAGACAGCAATAGCAATAATAGCTGTCGTGGCCGACGGCAAACATTACATGGTGGCAGTCATGCTTGTTTAAAAAAGAACAGGGAGTTATCTATTCAACGGGCAGCAGTAAGCCTGCGAAAAAGAGTGCAACACAGAGAAGCACTCAACCCGAAAACTTTGCGAACGGACCTGCAGGTGCAGAGCCGCCGCACCCGCCGCTGCTGAAAATGCTGCTATGAGCAGTATGTAGCAGTGATACGGTTGATGATCTAAATCTTGCATTACCTTAAGGACCTTAGACTATGGGAATTATGGTAGATTCTTTTGTTATGGGTAATGCAGGATTTATATCATCAACTGTGCCACGGTGTCCGTCAACAGACAGTGTGGCCGGATAGTCGGACAGCTACGACAGTGGTGCCTCGAGTGCACAGGAAGCAGCGGCAGAACTCCACCATCACAGACATTCCTTCACTTATTTGTTGAGATTTGGGGCTGTTCGGGACTTGCTTGGGAAGCCTTCCGTGCTATATTTTAAGCCATATACACCCCCACCCGATAAAGCGTGGTCAAACCCGGGAGCTCGCTGGGTCCTGAACCCTAGACCCTGTACTTTCCTGCATGTTTCAAGCCCGAAGCCATAAATCCTAAACCCTTATATGGGTGGTTGTCAAAATGATGGTCCCTTTTTGGGTCCTTATTATAATACGGAACCTAATTTTTAGGGTACCCAAAAAGGGACACGAATTTTGACAGCCACCCATATATGCCCCAAACTCTTTCGTTAAGCCCCAAAGTCCCGAAGCTGTCTCCCCAAGATTCAACATAGGTAGATGGCAGAGTATGGTCGTTGGGCCCACAAGCCCTAAAGTGTGCGTGTGGGGGTCTAGGGTTTGGGGCTTACAGGGGTTTGGGCTTCATGTTAGATACCTAGACTCGCAAACTCCACAGGCACATACAGTGTGAGCCCTAAGCACAAGCCTTAAACATCCTAAAACCCAAGCCTGAAACACAGCCAAGCCTGAAATCCCCAAATGCTGGGGCTTGAACCCTAAAGCCCTGAATCCCAACCCCGAAACCCTTTCGCTTGAAGTCATCACATCGAAACCCCTTAGCCCAAGATGTCTGAGAAGCACCGGAACCACAAACCGGCGAGGACCCGCCGATGGCGGCCCAGGCAGCGCTCAAGCTCTTGAAGGAAGGCGCGGTTTTAATGCCGCGAATGTCCATGGTGTCATTTTCCGGACTGGCTTGAAAGTGTACAGGTTGTCTTGCCTCATAGTGGTGTTCTTCGGGGTTTTACAAAGGTTGTAGAAGGCTCCCCCAGATAACGAGGTGGCCAGCTCGTAGTAGCCCGGCCCGGGCCCTACCCCAAAAAGACGCGCATCTATGGTGCTGCATTGATTTCCCTTCTTTCTTGCTCGCATTCACCGGATTCTTGAAGAAGTTGACCTGCAAAAAGCGAGACACCGGCCGAATACCAAACAAAGCTAGTCGGACTGTCGTTGTGTTGGGTTTCCTCGTCGGGCTCCCCTAAACCCAATTTGGAGGTTCACTAGGGTTCAAAGGAGGGCAACTATGCTCAGAACCCATATCAGGGAGTTATAACCCCACTTATAACTACCCATGAACCTCCAAGAAGTCCAAAACCGAAACTTGGAAAGTTTGCCTAAAAGAAAGCTCTTCTGTGGCCCAAAAGCACAGATTCTCTATCGAGTGAGAGCCTCCCTCCACAGCAACATGTGGGTAGTTTTCTAAATTAAGGTCTTAGGGTTCCTGAAAGGGATCTATAAGGGTTTCTATACGGTTACTATGAGGATACTATGTGGGTAGTTCTCTGGTCCCTTTTTAGGTCCACGGCACCCGTACCAAAAATGACTCCACAAGCAACCAGATTTAGAGAACTGCCCATGTTGCTGCACAACTATGTAGGGCTTTAGGGTATTTTGCATTTTTCTCAGTTGTGGCTTAAGAGGATCTTATCTACGAATTTTGTCCGGAGGCGTTACAGTGCCAGCCTATAGATAATAGAAGCAGGGCTTATACTAGCTAGGTTTAGGGTTTGAGGGTTGGGTCCACGGAGTCTGGAGGGACGCTACAGTCAAGCTGAGTAGCTCGACCTAGATACCGTACCCCAACAAGCCCTGGAGCCTTTTCAATATGGCGCCATGTGGACCAACCCCCTCGACCTTGAATCCTGTGTCCCCATAACGCCTGGACTAATTAGACCTAAACCCTGCTCCTGAACCTCCCCCCACCCCCCGAGAAACCAGAGACTCCAATATCCCTTAATTAATTTGTTATACATATATCTTATACCATATGAGGGAACCTACTATATTTTAATTAAGGTATATTCCTTAAGGAATATTGGGGCCTCTGGGGAAGGCAACGAGCGATTTGCCGTGGGTGCGCCCATTGCTGGCAAGATCGATGCGAAGATGCCTGCGCCTGAAAGGGTTTAGGGTTGCTATGAGGGCCTTAATAATTATCATAGGGTTCCTTTAAAGGGTCTATAAGGGTTGCTATAGGGGCTGCTATAAGGGTACTATGATATAGGGGCCTTGATAAATAGAATAGGCTTTTGGGGCCCAATATACTATAATTATAATAAGGAACACCCAAAATAGTATAGGTAATTGCTAAGACGCCTATATTAGATGCAGAAGGTTTAAAGATTATGAGTTTAGGGTGGAGTAGGGTTCAGGATTGGGCTGTCTGAGTGTGAGTGCCAAGAGGCCACCAGGCCTCTATGTATGAATGGCATTTTGCGTCTCCCTACACCCTAAAACCCTAAGCCCTTAAACTCTTAACCCAAAACTCCTTAAACCCTAAGCCCCTGGCCCTTAAGCCCAGTGGCAGCAAGTGCCAGGAGGAAAGCTTTGGCGACTGTCGGTCAGGCCCGGCGGCTCATCTTGGGAGTAGGTAACGGTTTAGAGTTTGGGTTATATAGGGTTTAGGGTTCGGGGTATAGGGTTTAGGGTTTAGGTTCTATTGTTTAGGGTTTAGGGTGGAAGAGCTTCATATGTTCTAAGGCACTCTGGAAGGGTCTGGCGGGTTTGGAGGGACCGAACCCTTGACTCGAATTAAGCAACTGTACACCTTGAGCCTCGCGACCCGAACTGTCATGAAAACAACTGCAGGGTGAAATGCATTGCCTGCGTAGAATCTCCAAGGTCAATCATCAATCCCTAAACCCGAAACCCTAAACCTTAAACCCCTAAACCCTAAACCCTAAACCCTAAACCCTAAACGTGAATGCGTGCCAGCGGTCAGGCGCCACACACGGCCATCCTCGGATGTGCAGACTCTCGGGTGCCGTCTCTCGCCGGCACTATTTTGCAGCTTTAGGGCATGGGGTTTATCGGTTTTAGGAAATTCAAGATTTGCGGCTGAGGCTTTGTAGCTTCGGTCCGTTAATTGCAGGGTTCCTGAAACGGAAACTCCAGAAGCCCGAAACCCCGGACCCAGAGTCTCCAAACTGCAGAAGCACAACGTTGGTGACTTCCGTGCCAAAGGCTCGAGTTGGTTTTCGATGGTCTTCCTGGAGCAACTTGGCGGGCCATGAAAATTTGCGGTTGGAGGGTCTGCAGTCTTAGTGTGTCTTCCTCCAGCCACCTGCCTCCAGCCATGTAGCTGCAGCCACCTGTCTGTAGTCACCTGTCTCCAACCACTTGCTTCCAGCCACCTGCCTCCAGCCATGTAGCTCCAGACCTGCCTCCAACCACCTGCCTCCAACCACTTGCCTCCAGCCGTGCGGACCGGTTCGATCGGTTCGGTACGTGGCCACAGAATCAACGATACAAATTGTTCGGTTAACGATGCACTGTGGTATGCGATAAAAGTACTGTTGAAACATCGATGATCAGCCATGTTTGCTGAATCGATTCGAGGATTTGTTCGTGCTCCGCAACGCCGGCAACACGTGCGTTCACTCCGAGGGCAGCGTGATGGGATCGTTGGAGTCGCCGGGACCAGAATTAGGGCTTAGGGTTGCGGGTTTTGGATATGATTTGCGTTGTTAGACAGAGCCCGCAGGGGTTTAGAGTTCAGGTGGTGTTCGGTGCGTGAAGCTTGGAAAGACCTTGCGACAATAAACAAACAATGCAGCTGAGCCACCAGCCCTTTTGGTGGAGTCTCAAAACACGCTGTTTCGACATTGCAGGTAGTATTGAGAGAATTGTTGATCGAGTTCCAGAGCCGTCGGAGCTGTCTCCCTTTTGAAGGATGTGTGGTTGAAGGTTTCGGCCTAGGGTACCGCTCCAACCGTGCGAAACAGCCCTTAAGGTTTGCAGCCAATGTCCGAAAGTTGCAATTTCGGGGCATCAAGGCCTCCCGGATTTCAGAAATAGCCTAAACCCCAAACCCTAAAGCCCGGCTGAGGTCAGGCCTAGATTTTGGTGTCAAGCTTGGCCCAAGAGCCTCAGTGAACCACGGGCTGAGGTTTCAGGTTCTTAAGGTTACCCTTTAGGGTTTTAGGGTTTGGCTGTTTAGGGTTTGGGGTTTAGGGTGCAGTTAGGGTTTAGGGTTTAGGGGTACCCCACCAGGGATCCAAGTAACTAATATTAAGTGTAGACTCTTCTAAACAAATACTAGCCCACAAAACTAAATCCCAATACCTAATTATTGGGTCCTTGGACCCTTCATATCAGGACCTTAAGATTATGTGGTCGGGCCGAAGACATAAAGTTGAGGGTTTAGGTTGCATATCCTAGAGCACTTCGTGACCACGGAACTGTTCACTCAGGTTTTGCACTGGTGCTCTTGGCACGAAGCTCATTCTCGCCTCTTGTCTCAAGTTTTCATAGGGCTCTACAGGGTTCTATCTGGGTTTTCGAGGGTTGACAGGTAGCTAGGATGCCCAGTCGTACCCTTATTCCCTTTTTGTAGTCCTAGGTTCCTTATAGAGTTACCCAATACCAAAAAGAGAGGCCTTTTTATACCTAGGTTACTGGGTATCCTAGGTAGTTTTTCCTAGACATTCTTTCTGTGGGTTTCGAGTTTCGGCTTCAGGGTTCTCACATTCCTTGATTAAGGAATGCTGCTTAGCTCGTAGTACTTAAAGGATCATGGGACTTAGTAACTAGGATTAGAATTAGGGTAGCTATACTTATAACCCCAACTAAGGTACTTATAACCTTACTTACTAAGTCCCATGATCCTCCAAGTAAGGCTCCTTCATAATTGGTTACCCATAAACCACGAACTACGTACTGGATATCCGGCGCTTCGGATTTGGGTTTAGGGATTCTGAGATTTGTAGGAGCGCTATCCTTAAGGTCCAAGTACCTGATAGTCAGATACTCTCCCAAATACCAACCCACATAGCTACTATCCGAAACCCAAGTACCTATGTATTGGGTCCATTATGCTTGCAGACGGCTTGCACTCAAGCTCTAGCTCCAGACTGGGACCAAAGCTTTACCCCGAGAGCGAGAATAAGAGTCCGAGAGAGAGCGAGAGAGGAAGACAGGTACTGAGCTAGTCCTTCGAATCTTTGGCGTCATGCGACTTATGAGGATCCGGCAGGCGCGGTGACTTCTAACGGTCTGGCACAAACGATCTTTTTGGCCTCCCAAGCTGTCATCATTAAACGTCCCACCTTGTCTCCACAAACTTCATTAAAACTGAAGCCAGGGACCCTATATCCCCAGAGACCCCAGACCCTTAGGACCCCACCCTGACGGCGTGAAGAGGTGTTGGGCCACACCAAGTGCGGTGCCATTAACGGTGCCACGAAGGACCGCGTCAAAAAGAGTCGCCGCTTGGCCTACACCCTGAACTGGAACATAACAGTAGACTTCCAGGCAAAGTTTAGCAGTACGCAACATTAAGCCCTGTTCCCTTGCAAAGCACACTTTACTCGGGAGGCCGACCGATTGATAAAATGTCTCTGCACATTCCCTATAGCTATGTATACCTGCACGGCAACAGACACTCCAAAACCTTGTTCGAATAAATGAGTTCCCTAGCTTGGACCTGTATCGTAAACCCTGTGGAAATGCCCAGAAGGAACCCTTAAAAGGCTCCTTTTCAAAATCTTTCAAGCCCCTACATCCTTACACCCGAAGCCGTGATACATATGGGTAGTTGTCAAAATTAGGGTCCCTTTTTCGGGTACCTTAAATATTAGGTGCATTATTATAATAAGGACCCCAAAAGGGACCCTAATTCTGACAACTACCCAAATAACGAAACTAATATGATTGATTGGAACTGGTGTTGCTTAGGGTGTAGGGTTCATGGTTTACTGTAGAGATTAGGGGACAGGGGCATTATTGCGACAACCACCAATATGTTAGTTACTCCGGGAGCCCGAGGCTCACGGGATTCGTTTTCGGCTTCCGACAGGGGACTGAATTTTCGGGGTTTCAGCCAAGGTTTCGGGACCTCTGGTCTTAAGAAAGGATTGGGATTGAAGAGTTGTTATTAATGCTAATCCTGAGGGTCAACATAAGTATACCTACATCCAAAGCTCTATTCTAAGTGCAAAGGTCCTATGTTAGCGCGGTTTGGGGGGCAGGGTTCAGGGTTTAGGGTTCAGCATGCTGATCGTCATAGGATGAATAGGATGCTGGAGCCCTTTGCGGCGCTTGGAAGAGATCTGGCCCACATAGAACACGTTTAGGGTTTAAAGCTCTCTGATGCATGTTTGGCGACCTTGCGCCTTTATGCACTCGCGAAGTTTTTGGGTGTGATGCCTCGGAAGCTCAGGGGGCAGGGTCCGTGAGACATCCTAGCATCCGCGAGGTGCGTTGTGGTGATGGGTTCTGTCTCATTCCCTTAATTACTGGGCTTTGGAGTACCATACTTTTTTTCTCCCTGGTTACTTAAAACCCCAGATTACGGTAGCCTGAGCTCCGCCCTCGCCCCATTCACAGCCCCATGCACACTGCTCACCGCAGGACTACATGGCCAACAAGGGCAAGTCCAGGGACGAGGCCAGGCAACATATCAGGGGTCCAATGTGATGAAACAAAGATTGGAAATGTACGTTCTATTGATGCTGTCTTTGCATTCTATCAAATCAGACGTTTGCACATGCGAGTTTGGATATCATGCCAGCTGCAAGTTTCTTGCAGGATTGCTATTCGTGAGAGGGAGCCCAGAGAGCACAGATTTACATGCATTCGTGCCTTGGCCAAGATGCCTGCCTGCATGCATGCATGTACATACACGCGCGCAGACACCCAATCCACTATAATGACAGGCACACACCGAAGCCCTTTGCTGCGTCATGAGATTGGTTCTAGTTCCAGCATACCAAACCCTATCCCTCCAAGGACCTCATAGTTAGGGCCCTAGACCCCTTAAGGACCCCATAATAAGGTCCCTGGAGGCATAGGGAAACTGATGCTGGCCCCATTCGCGCGCCAGGCCCCCAATGCTCTGGGTGCACTCCTCCAGGGGCTGAACGACGTGGCCAAAAAGGCTGTTCCACTTATTTGGGCTCTCTCGTGTTGTGCTTCGGGGTTTTGGGATTTTGTGTTTTGGGTTCGGGGCATTTTGTGGCCGAGGGATTTGATTCCTTGGGGTTTTGATAGGGTTACGGCATGGTTGGCTCTGTAGAGCTTCGGCGTTCATGGTTTAGTGGTGAAGTCATGTGCACACGGCACCTGTTTTCATACTCATGAGATGTCTTCTTCCAGGGGGTGTGTGACAATGTAAACCAATGCTTCCCCCCCACATCCCGCAGTGTGTGTTTTGTTCGGGCCTTGTGCAACAGCGTGTGAAAGATTAGCCCAAAGGCCTGGAAACTAAAACCCCAAATCCAAGGGTAAAACGAGGGACCCCTAGTAAGGACCCCTAGGTATATACCCAAAATATAGCTATTATATACCCATTATATAGCCCATTATAGGGTAGGGGTCCCCATTAAGGGTCCCTCCTTTTCCCCTTTGCATGGGGGCACAATCCTTCCTACCACTTATGCTCTGTCCTTGTCTCGTGGTGACTTTGGGGCTACACACTGGAAAGCTGCTGGCGTCTGCAGCTCATCAAGTAGTCCCGAACATGTCGCCCTAGGTTTGCACTTCGACTCCACCCAAAGCCATAATTTCCAACCGCTGCACGTCCCTAAACCCTAAACTCCTCAACCCGAAAACCCCGAAAGCGCACATCAACGGCAAGAGTCTGTGATGTCAGTAATTAGAGCCCGTGGTGTTGGAATAACAATACACTTTCGTCCGCAGGATCGCCCTATTGTAGTTATATAAGTAGCATCCGATATACTCCAACACTCGTGGAGTTTACTATTTATGTATACTACTTAATTACAATGTATAAGGGTATTTTACCGAATAATGTGAGCCCAAGACCCACAGCCCCATTTCAATCATGGCGGCCCTAAGTACTCGACATGTCTTGGGGGAGCCCCGGGTTCCTTTTGGGACTCAAAGTTCAGGATTTCCGGTTTGGGGTTTCGGGTTTACGGTTCAGGGTTTGGGGTTAAGGGTTTTTGAGCATAGGACCTTTAGGATTTCCGGTTTGGGGTTAAGGGTTTGGGGTTTTGGGTTTACTGTTTAGGGCTTTGGGGTTTAGGGATTACTGTTCGGGGTTTAGGGTTTAGTGTTCGGGGTTTAGGGTTTCGGGTTTGGGGTCAAGCGTTTGGAATTAAGTTTGGGGTTTAAGCGGCCGAGGTTTGTGTTAGGGTTCTTGGGGCTTATCGGGCCAGAGTTGAGCATGTTGTGCATTTCAAGGCTTCAGGAGCTCGCGGCAGAAGTGTTTCAGGGATTCGGGGTCCAGGAATTAAGGCCAAGACTTATAACTGCCCATGAACCTCCAAGTAATAGGAGTCGAATTAAGCGTGTCGGGTTCCGCGCGCAGCGTGCAGGCGGAAGCGGAGTTGGGTGGCTCTCCGAAGGAGGAGGAAATCGCCGTGCATGCTGCGACTTCGCTGAAGATATGTACGAGTATCTCAAGTTGGTGATGACCTTGCCTGGTTTTTGTGCGTTGTTTTGATGAGGACCGTCTACCTTGGTGTCTACATTCGGAGGCTCTGATGTTCTGAAACTCCCGTAAGACGGGCTTGAAAGTATCGCGTGTAGCGCTTCAGGTTTAGTAGTTTGCGGTTTGAGGGCTTAGACCCTAAATCCTAAACCCCTAAACCCCTGAACCCCTAAACTTTAAACCCCTAAAACCCTAGACCCGAAACCCCCAAACCCCCAAACCCTAAACCTGTCGGGATTTGGGCCTCAGGGCCATGATTACTGGTGAGAGAAGCAGCGGCTGCAGCTGGAACAAAACCCTGCAGGCTTCACCCGGAAGCCCTAAACCCTAAGCCCACAGCCTCAGGCCTAAACCTTAAACCCAAAGCCTAAACCCTAAACCTAAAGCCTCAAGACTAAACCCGAAACCCTAAAACCCAAAGCCTAATCCCTAAACCCCTAAACCCAAATCCCAACCCCAACGCCTCAAAGGTGAAAGTCAATGTCTTCAACTCTATGGACTTCCTGGTGAAGAACAGCCCCGCTCTCAAGAGCAAGGCCCTCTCTTTCTGCGTTGAGGGCTTCGGGATGTAGGGGTTTCGGGGCTTCTCTTACTGGGGGTTTAGGGGTTTGCGGTTTAGGATTTCGGGAATTAGGGTTTAGGGTTTAGGGTTCTTGGTTCTTAGGGTTTAGCGTTTATGGTTTAGGGGCTTCCCTTAATTACTGGTATTTCTCACTTCGATTATGTTAAAACTGTTTCTGCTATAAGCACCACGAACGGCCTTGATTGCTCTTGAACAGAACTGCTCTGGCAAAACTTGCTGCGGCAACACCATTGTGTGCTCTGAAAACAAGACATGCTTCTGCTATTCTGTTTGCCAGCTTGCCGGATGCTTTGGCACAATCGACAAGTATTGCGATCAGCACGATTCCACCATGGTCGTATTGCCAGTTTTGTTTGCCCTTGGTGGATTATCAGATTGTCGCTTGCTCTTCCTCCTTCTAGGATTGTAGAAGGCATGTGCAGCGTGTATCATGAACCACTCTTCTGGGATTCTAAGGTGAACATACTAGCAATGATCGTAAATCACCTATAGTCTCCATTGCAGCTCCTTTCGTTGGTTGAACCAAATATATAATTAGGGTCCTACAAGGTAGCCCCAAACAGGAACTACAATGGAGACGATAGGCACTATTGAAACAGCCGAATCCTCAGCACCTTCCAAAGCCCCAAGAGCCCCAAGCTTCGGGACCCCCAGGGTATACTTGGAGGCTCATGGGTAGTTGTAACAAGTGTAGGTGGGGTTATAAGTGGGATAACCATAGTTATAACCCATGTTAGGGGACTTAGAACCCCATTTTTAACTACCCATGAACCTCCAGGTAGGGTTTAAGGTTTTCGGTCAGAAAAGCATTTATCAACCAAGCTATATCGGAGCAAATGAAGGCAGATCCCCTGCCGGATAGCAGTAGGGCTATGATCAAGTTCGATAACTTCGTCTAAAGAGCAAGCGATGGACACATCTCCGGCTGGACAGATCTGAACCCTGAGCCCTAACCCTTAACTCACCGATTTCTCATTCCTAAACCCTAAACGGCCCTAAACCCTAAGCGCCGAACCCCCAAGCCCCTTAACCCCTAATCCCTAAACCCTAATTTTCAATCAGCCCTAAACCCTAAACCCTAAACCCTAAACCCTAACCCCTAATCCCTAAACCCTAATCCCTAAACTGTAAATGTTTAATCCCTCCTTTGGCGCAGGTTGAGTCCGGCGAGGTCGCGATCGAAGGAGGCCGTGGATAAGAAAGCTTTCGGATGCACCCAGAAACTCCCTCATCTCTTTTTCATGATATACCCCTGAGGGTTCCTTGAAGGAATCTCTACATATATATATATATATATATATATATACATATTTATGTATATAATATATATATATATATATATATATATATATATATTCCTGATTTAATGGGTATTATAGAGTCTCTGGGCAAGTGGCTTAGGGCAATTGGGTTGTCTTCAGGGTTTATCTGGGTATGATGTCAACCGACGATGTCTTCTTATTTTCGGCTTCTGAAGCAAGTTGAGCGGCACGCTCGTGCCACGCCTTGCTTGGGGCCCCCCTTCATCAGAGGAAAAATGAAAACGCTAATATGAGGGCTTTCATTTTCTCCGTAAACATTTGGGGCTCCTTCTTATAAGTATAGTCATAGTAGAACGGACCCCAAACCCTATTCTAACTATTAAATCCCCTATATTGCCCTTATTATTTAGGAGACAGTGGGGAACAGAGTCGCACAATAAGGACTCAATAAGCTTAAAGCAGGCATCTACGACCTGGACAGCGGCCGCGTGCGATGGCTGGGAAAGAGCCCCAATGCTAGGCGAAAGCGCAGAAGCAACTAAAATTTAAGTGTTTTGAGTTGAGGGCCAGTTTAGGGCTAGGGCTTAGTGTAAGTATGGCTGTTTTACTTGAAATTTTCTGTGGCTCCGCCGAAAGGAAGGCCTGTGTAAGACGGATCTATGTTGATGCTCCTCTAAACGCTAAACCCTAAACCCCTAATAAACCGTGCTGCCCTGGTTTCAGAAGCCGTCCTTCATGGTCTGGGCCTTGATACTGCACTACAGGCTTGTAATACAGCAGCCTGCATAATTAGCAGGGCTGTTCAGTAGGGTTCCTGATGACAACTGTATACCCCTGAGGGTCCATGTTCTCATATGCTAGATACTTGGGACCTGAAGTACCTATGCATGGACTACTTCAAGGCCCATGTATATACTATATAGGTACATGGACCCTTAGACCCTTAGTCTACTAAAACGGAGCTCCTGTTGTAATTATTAAAAGGCCCCCGTAGTAGTCAGGCTTTCCGACGTCTGGTGTTTACTTGGAGGGTCGGGGGACTTAGTAAGTAGGTAGTAAGTAGACTTATAAGTACCCTAAAAGGGATCCTAATTGGGGTTATGGTACTTATAAGTCCCTAAAATAACCAGTTACGAAGTCCCCTAAACCCTAAACCCTTACAGAATCCCTGTAGATCCCTTTAAAGGACCCCTTTAAAGGAACCCCTTAGAGTTACTAAGTCCCCTAAGGACCCTCCAAGTAGGGCGTCAGTGTCCGGTGCAGGATTCGGGTTTCAAAGAGGTCGAAGACCTCCAAGAGCAAAGGGACAGCAAGGGCTTTAGGGTTTAGGGGTTTAGGGCTTTAGGGTTTAGGGTTTAGGGCTTTAGGGCTTTAGGGTTTAGGGGTTTAGGGTTTAGGGGTTTAGGGTTTAGGGCTTTAGGGTTTCGGGGGTTCATGGTTTAGGGTTGAGGGTCTGATGCCCAGAAAGAAGCAACTACTGCCCTAGACCAGGTTTTGATTGAATAACTGGCGCAACAGCTAAGCCCCCCCAACCTGAAACCCAAGTTCTGATGCCCCGACAGACCAAACGACGCAAAGTACTTAACTCTGGTGCGGTCTTTGACAGTCTTCATAACAAGAGCCCTATATGGGGTTTAGGGCCTAAGCTAATTTTTATAATTACCATACAATTTTGGTGGTTCCTTATTAGAATTATAGAATTATTAAGGCCCCCAAACCCGATTCTAATTATTAAGGCCCCTAAAGTAGGGTGTATGAGAAAGAGAATCCTGAAGGATACCCTCGACCTTTTCCACACTACTCCAACTGTTCGTAGTTTGCCTCCACCCCAAACCCTAAGCCCTTAACCCGAAACCCTGAACCCTCCGAAATCACGCCCTTTGGCAGGAAGGCGTAGTCGGCTGGGGCCCCAGAAGATCTTGGCTCTGGTCAGGTTCCTTGTTATATACGCCCTAAACCTTAAACTGAGACTCCTGAGACTATGCTTTTAGGGGAACCCAGGCCTTCTTCGAAGGATCCCGACATGAGCAGTATATAGTGATTCTGCCATGCGGTTGTTAATTGCAACGTGCTTTAGGGTGAGTTTAGAATTTCACTCTTTACGATTCTGCGTGACTTTCGTGTGGCACGAGGGTTCTGACCGAATTCCGGAGCATAGCCTCTTGGGTTCTTAATGTGAAGCTGTTTATTCCGCCAGTGAAGCCACAATGTCATGGCGAGCGTGATGAGATCACGATCTATCACCAGAGTGGTGACAACAAACTTCTGCCGGATATTGCTGGATGCGTTTAGAGTGGCCAGGAATTGAAACGTCCATTACTGTGGCGGTGATGCTGATATTTTTTGCAGCCGCAATACTGGTGATGATGACGGCAGTGCTCATATGATAGATGGTTATGACGACGGTGAATGTGCAGGGTCCGGCTTCTTGTCACTGCCGCAGAGATGACAAGCGCTTGGCGAAGGAGATGGCGGTTATGATTCTGCAGCGGCGAATATGATATCGACAAGACCTAACGAGAATTATCTTGGTGGTTACTATCGCCGCAAGGGCTCTTTTCCCAGCAGTCTTCCTCCTAGGCCATCACTAACATTGTTGCCATCGGCATATTCGCCGTCATCAATCATCAGCACCACCCTGAGGTTTCAGCGATCGCATTCTGATCTGAAGCTCTAAGCCCTGTCCCTCAAAGCCTGAATCCTAGAATCTCGGAGGGGCAACCAAGCAGAAACGACATTTGCCGGAGCTAGCTTCAAATCATGTTCCTTTGCAAGCCCCTAAACCCTAAACCCTAAACTTGCTTGCCGCTGCTGGACTCCTTCCCTGCTGACACTAGTGATTTCTTCTACAACCCTTCAAGGTCCAAAGTCCAGGGTGGTGGATCTGGTGGGCTCTGCGTATACGGGGCTTGATACGGTTACTGACTGTTACTAAGCTCACGGTTGCCATCCTGTCGGAACTATGGGTTTCTTATAGGGTTCAGGAACTTGGGGTATACCCTTGCGGATTTGAGTTGTTGTTGTCACTTTTTCCACCTGAAACTCTACACCGCAGCTTACAACCTCTGTCAGGCTTTATGGATCTGAGGGCAATACGCATTTTTAAAGCGCTGAGCGCTCTCGATCCCTGCCAGGCGTCCCTCTGTGTGCTCCTTCCGGAAGCACGGGGGTGGCCTGGCTTTCCCCAAATCTTACAAGATCTGCCGTGAGGCAGTTGTATACAACGTATACTTGAACTTGTAGTCCTGGGCTCACGGGCTGTTCATGGAACTACAACAGACGCCCCAGACAATTCGTAGAACACACTATTCCTTAGGAATGTGTATTCTGCTTAGATCGTAATCAAACCCCAACGCCACATTGAAATTATAAGGCCCCGAGTTGCATTAAGTATTTTTTCCAGAATCAGTCGTTCCTCTTGCTCCAGTGATAAGCCTGATACTGCCTGTGTCGCCACAGTTTTCTCCAAGTGCCGGCTGTTCGCATGAGCCCGGCATAGCAAAAGACAGAGCACAAGCTTCTGACCTTGCACATATGGGTGCCGATGCGCGTCCTCTCTTACGCGGTGCCGAAAGCAGGCCGGATAACACAGGATTCTTAAGATGGTTATACAACACGGCATCTCAAACCCTATTATTCCAATCATGACGGCCCTGTTCTACACAATGGACGGGCTGGGTCTAACCTCTACCACGCTCATCCCGAAAGCCATAGTCCCCAGCCTTTAGACCTATGAGCCCGCTTGCCTTTTCGACCGCTTGAGGTGCCTATCATTTAAGCCCTCATACTTCCGACCTCGCCGAATGTATGAAGAAAAGGAAGATGCTCAGAGTCTCGGATTCAGGTAAAGAATCGCGGGGACCAGGATCAGCAAGTGCAAGTTGACGTATCTTCTCTGTATGAAATCGGCTTTGGCAGAACTACCAGCAGGCCAGTAGTGGCAGTGCATCCAACAGTGCAGTAGCAGAAGCAGCACCACCTATAGTCTCCACTGTAGTTAGTTTTTCTGGGTCAACCAATTGTATGGTTTGGATCCTACATAACTTTGGTTAACTAAAAAAGAACTACAATGGAGACTATAGGACGAGGAAGAGAAACGGGATTGCCAGCAGTGGCAGTAGCAGTAAGAGCAGGCGTAGCAGTAGCAGTAGTAGTAGCAGTAGTAGTAGCAGTAGTAGTAGTAGTAGTAGTAGTAGTAGTAGCAGTAGCAGTAGTAGTAGTAGTAGTAGTAGTAGTAGTAGTAGTAGTAGTAGTAGTAGTAGTAGTAGTAGTAGTAGTAGTAGTAGTAGTGTAGTAGCAGCAGTAGCAGCAGTAGCAGTAGTAGTTTGGAGCCGCAGCAGCGGTTGTCGTCGTCGTCAGAGTGCTAGCTTCGGCATCTTTAGTCCTCGCTCCTGTTGCTCTGGTGAATTGCTGTCGGTGGCCGTGTTTACCGTGACCCAGCACGTGATGATTGCGAATGTGTTAAGGCCGAAGAAGCCAAAACGACGGTCCCCCCCCAGACCTTGCACTATCGTCTTTGAGCCCGAACCCCTAAACCCTACACCGTAAACTTTGTACACACCATATATAGAACCCATATAGGCTTATCACGCCCCGGAGGAATCCTTTCAAAGCTCTTTTGGAACCCTTGCCCTTCTCTCAAGCCGCTTCAGAATCTTTACAAAGCAGCTCCAGAAGAAAGTTTACCACAAGCGATGGAACTATTGGTCTTGAGTGTTCAGGGTGTAGGGCTCAAGGCTATTAGGGTCTAGGTTTTTGGGGGTGTAGGGTTCAGGGCTATTTGGGTTTTACTTCTTTAGGCCCTTAGGCGATTGGGTCATTGCCTTGACCTACCACGACCAGGGCTTCATCGTTCCCCAACGAGGATTGACCTTAGAGAGGTTTATATGCGGTTTACAGTTTGGGTGCAATCCCACCATCGTTTTAGCATCCCCATCAACTTGACATCTAGGCTGTGAGGGCATGAAGGCAGTTTCAGCTCACCGCTTGACCTGCCATGGTCTTTGAACTGCAGCCATTGAAGGTTTCCATGCTTAGTTGAGATATCTCCGGCTATAGACGCGGGGAGCGGCCAGGCAGGGTCCTCAGGAGCCCCAACCCTCGTTTAAAACCTATAAGCCCTACATCCTAAACACGAGTCCCAAACTCTTAGCCGGTGAAGCCCCGAAGCCTTCCCAGAGACTCCAATATCCCTTAATTAAAGAATATACCTTAAATTATAGTAGGATCCTTCATATAATTTAAGGTATATTCCCTAATTAAGGGATATTGGAGTCTCTGGGTTAGTTCAACACCAAGGAGGGAGCCCTGGTGGTTCAGTTGAAAAGTCCGGGTGGGCTTAGTCACGGGTTTTTTGGTTCAGACTTCAGGGTTCAGGGTTTCGTGCTGAGAGTAGGTTTAAGCTGCTAGGATGCCCAGTAGTACCCTTATTCCCTTTTTGTAGTCCTAGGTTCCTTATAAAGTTACCCAATACCAAAAAGAGAGGCCTTTTTTTTCTTAGGTTACTGGGTATCCTAGGCTGTTTGGTTTCGAGGTTCGGAGG